CTCATAAACGCAATGAACACTTAAATACCCCTAAATCAATCAAAACTAAAATCAAATCTAACAATCTAATTATCAGTAAGCTGACAAAGGTAACTGTCTAGTGATCTTAGATCAATCTTCATACAATGATAAAGTTTCTACTTTCCTTAATAATAATAACTTCACTCTACTCACAACAGATCCCTCAAAAAAGTTTATAATTAAATTAAAAGAAAACATCAAGCATTTCACAGATTTCTTTTCCGAATATTTTGCACCATATTACAAACTTCCAAGCAACCCTTTAACACCCAGACTGTATGGTTTACCTAAAATACACAAGGAGGGCATTCTTATTCGTCCAGTTGTTAGTTTCATTAACACTCCAGTTTCCATCTTATCAAAATTTAATTGAATCTTATTAACAATATGATGAACTTTACTCCTCAATTCTCAGTCAAAAATACTAGTCATCCAGTCAATAACCTACAACAGATCCATCTTTACCCCAACATTACTATGCTATCATTTGATGTCAGCAATCTATTTACATCTGTCCCCAAACAAGAAACAATTAATCTGGTTCACTTTCTTCTAAGAACCAATTCCATCACTCATTCTAATACTAAATCCATTATCCAACTATTACAACTTTATTTAGACCAAGATTTTTTTGACGACAAATATTATAGACAACCTGATGGCTTAGCCATGATTAGCTGTCTCTCTCTTCTGCTGATGTATTTATGGATCATTTAGAATCCATACAGATTATGAAAAATCTTGAAATACTCTATTGGTTTCGTTATGTTGATGACTGTTTAGTCTTCATTTCAGGTAACTCCAATTCAGCTGAACTATTACTTCCTAAAATTAATCAAATTCACCCCAATATCAAGTTCTCCATGGAACTAGAATCTTCCATGTCAATCAATTTTCTTGATCTCACCATTACCAGATTAAATGACCACTTCGACTTCAGTATCTATAGGAAACCCACACAGACTGACCATGTCATACCCTTCTCATCCAACCACCTCATGTTTCATAGATATGCAGCTTTTCATAGTTACATCCATCGCCTGGAAAATATTCCACTTTCTCATTTAAACTACATAAAAGAACTAAATATTATCAGATAAACAGCAGTCAACAACGGTTATGATCATAACATCATCAATAAACTCATCTATAGAAAACGTCTTAGGAACCTGCAGGAGACTGCGTTCCCCGGGGATCCTATCACCAAACCCAATTACGTTTCACTTCCTTATCACCATGAGAGTCTTTCTGGAGATATTCGAAATCTAATCAAACGTTCGGTTGAAAATATTTATGTTTCTTTTAAAGTACCTAATACCTTGGGTCAGTATATATCCAATTCCAAAGACTCCATTAATTATATGAACCGTAGTGGTGTTTATAGACTATAATGTTCTGATTGTGATGCCACCTACATAGGAAGAACATTAGATCATTGTCTTCACGCTCTTAAGAGCACATAAAAAGAGAAAATACTTCCACTTTCTCTCAACATCTTACAGAACACAACCACACTCTCAATATTCCAGAAGATATCTCACTTATTCATAATATCCCACAAAAAAACTTTCTCAAACTAGACTAGAAAACAAGAGAAGTCCAAATTGTGTCAATCGCCATGTCTCATTCAATCAAGACTTTCTTCCGCTCCACCGTCAACTATTCTCATAACCCACTTTCCAACTTTACTTCTTCATTACTATTTAAATTTTCGTCCTTCTCTTATCACCTATTAATCGTCCTTAGCTCTCTCAAACTTCGTTTCATATATCCAACTCCCCTTCTTTCCTCACTTCTGTGTAGGCATCTAAGCGTCAAGTCTGACCCCATACCTAATATTCTCCATGCTACTTTGCAACAAAATAAATTCAGAGCAGATTAAATAATTTCCCTCCAAAAATAATTTTTTATTAACATACATCTTCACCTACTCAACCACATATCTTCACCTTTTCATACTGTGTTTTTTTTACTATAACTCGTTTTACTCATCCACTTTCCCTCAGGATTTGGTTTTCGGATCTCTGGGGACTTCAGCCTCTTGTAGATTCTTTCCCCTTTTCTTCACAATAATATTTAAACATCACACATCTTTAGTAAATTTGACAGATCCTCCTTAAACACAACTACTCTTGCAGTTTTACATATTTTCATAATACACTCCATAAGCCTATTAACTTCACATACCTACCTAAACTCAAACTTAAAACTCATTCTTTTTTATATTTCTCAGGTACCAAATGTTCCTTTTAACATATAGGGCCTTTTTGTTTTTCTTGGGTTATAACTTGAGCCATGTATGAACAATATCATACCAAACCACCTTTCAGCTATCAATTTTCTGTTTTTCTGGCATACCTTTCAACACACAAAAACAACCTTCCATCTTTATTTTTCACATATAACCAGTAATTTATGTTCATGAACTTATAACTTAAAAAACCTTTTATTTTACCAGGTACTAAATGTTGTTTTTGACATAAAGGGCCTACCATGCTTAAGTTTGAGTTAAGTACTACATGAACATCACATTACAAACACATTCTTGTCATATTTAAATTTCATCTCAACAGCATCTAAACATATCACTCCTCATTAATAAATCTTATAGAACTCATATTTCTACATGTGCCTTTTTTTACCATTTGCTAGGTACCAAATGTTTCACAACATACGGGGCCTTTTGTTAAAATTTTTAGTTTAGAATAAATAAATCTAGACACATGTATAATTGGTTGCCTATCGATCCCACATAATTTCATATACTTCAGTTTACCTACATTGATTTAAAAAACAATTGTTTCAATGTTTTCAACATAGATATAGGATTAATTCACATTACAAACTACAACATTGATGGTTGATACTGTTATATTATTATAATTTTAACTTTTTCAATTTTAAATATTGCTGGCTTCTGTCATTTTTAGACAACTATTTTAAGTGACACTGACTGCTCTGACCCAACATTCGTCCTAGCATCTCAACAATGTCATTTTTATTAGTTGTTATCAACAGGTCCTCGAAGACACTTCGTCTCAGGACCCTATAATCTATGTAGGGTCATACGTCGCCATGTTACTAATTCCAACGGTAACTTAAACATCCTAATTTGTAATTATATATAATGTAAAACAACCATAAATTTATAACATTTAACGGGTTTTAATAGGTATTCTGCGAAAGACAGGTATTGACGACAAGGACATTTGAATTGTGGCAAACCTATACTGGGGTCAAACAGCAAGAGCAAAAATTGGCAACGAACTCACTGAAAGCGTCCAGACACAGCCTCCTACAGTAACTGTAGGAGGCTGTGGTGCAGATCAAAAGAGGTGTCCGTCAGGGGTGTATATTATCCCCACTCCTATTCAATATGTATTCCGAGGAAATATTTAACAAATGTATGGAAAATGCAAATGAGGGCATAAAAATAAACGGCGAGTTAACGAACAATATAATATATGCCGACGACACAGTGATCCTTGACAGTACCATAGACGAATTACAACAAGTAATGGAAAGACTTTATTCAGTTAGTGAGGAATACGGCCTGAGCCTCAACTTCAAGAAGACACAGTGGATGCTGATAAGCAAAAAGCAACAACCTGCTTCACAATTACGGATAGGTAACATACTAATTGACCATGTAGAATCTTATGTGTACCTTGGCACCAACGTAAATGCAAAATGGGAACAGACCATAGAAACTAAGACAAGAATAGAACGAGCTAGAGCAGCATTTCGCAATATGAAAAAGCTCCTCACAAGAAAAGATTTGTCTCTTCCCCTAAAACTACGTATAGTTAAATGCTACATTTTTTCGATCTTGCTGTATGGCGTGGAGGCCTGGACGCTGACGGAGACGCTAACGAGAAAACTAGAAGCATTCGAAATGTGGGTGTACCGACGCATTCTTCGTATATCCTGGACCGAACATGTCACCAACATAGAGGTACTCCAAAGAATCGGAAAGGAGAAAGAAATCGTGAATACAATTAAACAAAGAAAGCTTGAATATCTAGGCCACATATTGAGACACGATAAGTACCGTCTGCTACAATTGATTGTCCAGGGAAAAATAGACAGTAAGCGAGGCCAGGCAGGAGAAGACACTCGTGGCTCCAAAATCTGCGGAAGTCGTTCGGGCTCACATCGGTCGAACTATTCCGAAGCGCCGCAAACAAGATCAAAATTGCCATGTTAATAGCCAACGTTCGCAACGGACAGGGCACTTGAAGAAGAAGAACGGATTTTGACCCATATATTTTAGTGGCTCATAGCATGTATACCTCGTAAGTATTAACCACATTTTGCTTTAACCTTTGTCACCATTTTAAATTCAACGTTCTTTTTAATTAAAGTGGTCATATACTTTCAGGTTTACACTGATGATGGAATTAACATTCCGAAAACGTTCTGTTATGTAATTGTGATATCCCGTTTGGGTATTTTATTATAAACATTTTATAAAGGATTTGAAATAAAATTTTTTGTGATATATGGTATACAGCCAGCTACAGGAACTTAGTTTCCTAGTGGGTCTCTAATATCTCGTGTCAAAATTTCCTAGCCTGTCATTTGAAGATAAAGACCGGTATTTTTGATTGTTTACAGATTAGGCAACTTCTTTCAGATGAATATTTCATGGTAACAATGTCACTAATTAAAAGCAATGCATGGTTGGCATTCAAAAATATTGTTAAAAACTTTCTTGAAAATACGCGAGCATTGAATTAAAACCTTAAAAAACTTATTTTGAACTTTTGATTTCAAGTCTTTTTTTTTACTTGAAAGTTTTTGAAAAACTATTTCCGAAGTAGAAATCAAAACCTTAAAATAAACTTAATTTAAAATAAAGCTGTACCATATCTCGAGTAAATTGTAATAACAGTCAAGTAATAACAGTATTAACATGCTATAAGAAAAAAGCTTCAATACAATAAAATTTATTGCATAAATTTATTTAAATCACTTACCTCTAATTGTTTTAACGGAAAATTATGAAGCAACCATGATAACCATGGGTGCTTAAAATTTTTATATATTGCAGCTGGACCTAATGCAATTGCCAACTTAATTTTATCGTTATATTCTGGTCTTTCTGAACCCATTACAAAAAGTGTTGTAGATCCTTGAGAGTGACCAACATAATAGAGGCTAGTTTGATGTGTAGCATTAACAATGTAGTCAATTACAGCTGGTATATCATACATTCCTATTTCGTGAAAACTAAAATTTTAAAATTGTGATAAGCTCACATGAAAAATATGCCTCTTCAATTGTTTACTGGTAAGTATACTATGGTATTAGTATGGTTAAAGTAAATAAAAGTAAAGTAATCACTTTCACAAATCAATATCTACTGAAAATGAGTAAGTATTACTCAAAATGAATATTGTAAGCTAAAAAAAAATGAAAACGCTTGAAATCAGCTTACTGTTAGATTGAAATGAGTTGAGCATAATACTGACCCTTGTGGTATTCCATCGATTTGAGTGAGGACTGATGAAAAAATACCATTGATAGACACTCTAAACGATCTTGATGATAAGAAATTTTGTATAAAATTGAATATGTTGTCCTTGAAATCCATTGTATATTTACAATCAGATTTTATTTGTTACGTACAAAATAAATATGTTGATTATTTACCATTCTGATTTCCGATATAGAACGTTTGAAAAACATTTCCTTTGAAAGTCGTACATTTTCGACTTTATAGAAATCCTCATATATTAGGCTTAACATTCGATTTCAGCAAAACGGAAAAAAACGAAAATTAAATTATATCGTGTGTGAGGAATCAATACCCCGAAGTGTGAGCGGGAACAGAGAGTGAATATCTACTGATACTCTAATGAAACGCACATGGTGAATCATAAGGGCATTCACATTTTACTCTTATTTAACTTGTCTTAAGTGAAATGTCTTTAATCTTTTCTATTAGTCTCTCTTGGCCAACTCTTGTTTCTTCCAACCCCGAATGGTGATTAGATTTCCGAAAGCCGACGGGTCACTCTATTACTTTCTACAACATACTCTTCCTCGACCGAGTATAGGCGGTATAACCTAATCATCTCGCACGAAAGAAATGTCGTTGCCACCTCCAGGACCACTGCCCCCTGAAGCTTGTCTGGAAGCTACAGTCGACATCCCCGGTACCAGACTCGGGTGTGGAAGGCCAATAATCTACTCATTTTAAATTTCGTTTTATTTATGAAACTTTGGTAGAAACAAACCAGACGAATCAATTTTTGACCACCTTGGCATCACCGAAAACATGGACACGATTTGGTTGCTGGAATGGCAAAACTCTGTATGTAATTTCTAAACTAGCTTAAGCAAGAGAAGTGTAGGAAGAATAAGAATCTCATGGTTGCGTAACTTGAGGGAATGGTACAGATGCACATTAATTGAACTATTCAGAGCAGCAGCATCTAAGATCAGAATAGCCATAATGATTGCCAACCTCCGTCGCGGAGATGGCACGTGAAGAAAAAGAAGCTTAAGCAGTAAAAGAATTAAATAGGTATAAATTAATATAATTTGTTGTTTTATCTGAAATAAGATGGTTGGCCAATGATAAACGCCATACCCAAATAGGAGAACTTCTACTATACAGTGGTAAATAAAATGGAAGTTATGAGAGAGGAGTGGGTCTTGTACTCAGCAAATAAGCCAAAAAAAGCCTTATTTCATGAAAACCCATTAATGATAGAATTATGACTGCCAGATTTTTGATCCAGATACCGCAAGATAACAGTGATTTGGTGCTATGTTTCCACAAACACATCTCCTTTCGAAGATAAAGACATTTTCTATGAATAACTGGAACAAACAACCCAACAAGTTAACCAAGGCGATATACTTAGTGATGGCCGATATGCACCCTAAAGTTGTAAGAGACAATATTAACTTAGAAACCGTAATAGGCAAACATGGACTGGAAGTGATATATGAAAACGGAGGGCGTTTTACAAATTTTTGTTCCAATCATAGCTTAGTTATTGGTGGAACCATCTACCCATAAAAAATTAAACATAAGGTTACATGGAATGTAGCAGGTCATGTAAGAGAAAATGAAATAGATCACATCGCCATCTCAAAAAGTTGGAGATCATCTCTTCTTGATGTACGTAATAAAAGAGGTGCAGACATCGCAAGTGACCATCATCTTCTAATCGGTACCATCAAAAATAAAATGGCAAAAGACACAATCACACAAAACACCAACAGACCACTATACAATCTAGACAAATTAAAAATGGCTCCAGGACGACACATGTTAAGAGAGGAGCTCTAACTTAAAACAAAAAAACGTAAAGTAAATAGCTGACAGGTTATTGACAGGTTATAACTGGTTTAAAAGAGAAACATAGAAAATAATGGATGTCAGATAAAACTTGGAATCTTATCGAGGAAAGAAAACAGCAAAAAAAAGATATTTTTCAAGCAAGAACCGTAGGTGGAAAGAGCGAACCGACAAAAAGAATATAAAACAATAAATATATCAGTTAAAAATGCAAGAAGAGACAAAAGAAGGCAATATGAAGAACTGGCAAAACAAGCTGAAACAGCTGCACAACACAGCAGAACTAGAGTGCTATACCAAATTACTAGAGAACAAACAAAATTAGGACCCAACTGTTTAAGACAGGCGAATTACTTACTCCAATGAATGATCAAGTAGAGAGATGAAAAAAACATTTTGAGGAGATGCTAGGCACGCCCAGGGAAAATCCAGATGAAATTGTCGAAAACACGCAGAATGTAGACTTGCGTATATCTTGCAAGGCCCCTTCCAAACCGGAGATAATAACAGCTATCCAATTTTTGAGAAATACCAAGTCTCTGGAAATCGATAACATTGCTTCCAAAATACTTTAAACTTTTTCGCATCTAACTGCTAAACTTTTGCTCCCCATAATCCGATCCAGTGGACTTCAAAAGGGTAACATTATTAAGCTTTCAAAAAAGGGCAACCTTACACTGTGTAAAAATTGAAGAGGAATAACCTTGCTTACCTCAATAAATAAAATCTTCACGACTATCATACTTTAAAGATTAACAAACAAGATTGAATTTCGATGTAGTCAAGCAGTTTTTAGACCAGAATTTTCCTGCATAGACGACAATAATACTGTGAGGGTAATAATCGAAAAGTCAGTTGAATAAAACACACTCCTATATATGTTTTTTTTTTGACTTTAAGCATGCATTTGATAGCTTATCTCATGTTGCTTTATGAAAAATTTTAGAGCTAAGAAACATTCCGCATAAAATAATTTCCACTACCAAGTTACTGTACACTGAGGCGAAATGCAGCGTGACACACAATGAAATCAATACCGACGAATTTGACATACTTACTGGAGTCAGACAGGGATTCGTGCTTTCTCCGTTTCTTCTTAACATAGCGGTAGACTATGTTTTCTCCAAACTAGACTCCGACACAAGAGAGATACAATGGACGTTAACAACATGCCTAAGCGATCTGAAATATGCCGACGATATCTACCTGTTAGGACAAAGATTCCAAGATGTGGCTGATCAATTGGAAGCACTTTCCACCGAAGGCAATAACGTAGGTTTGAAAATTAATATTAGTAAAACCAAATCCATGAGAGTATCTGCAAGAAACAACACGCTATTTACTATCAACAACATGGAGATTAAAAATGTGGAAAACTTTATATCTCTTGAAAGTGTCATAAGAAAAAGTGGAGATACACAGGACGATATTCGTTTAAGGATACAAAAAGCTTAACAAACATTCAGCATGCTCAACCCTGTTTGTAGATTTGGCAAGTACACTACAAGGACAAAGATCCGCATATTGCAGTCAAATATTATGTCTGTTCTACTTTACGGATGTGAAACCAAGAAACTGACAAAAACCCTTACAGATAAACTGCAGGTCTTTATTAATAAATGTCTACGACGAATTGTTTATATTTTCTTGCCTAACATTATTCGAAACGAAGCTCTATTACACCTGACTGAACAAAAAGGGTAGAACATCAAATAAAGTCCAGAAAGTCAGGTTGGATTAGTCACACACTTTTGGCAGTAGGTTAAAAATAGCTCAAAGATCAAAATCTACCTTAAAACAATATGTGTTTTTTAACTGGCGGTGGTTACCACCTCCACCTAAGGTAATATTGAAATAGAGTACATTTAAATATTCGAGCCATTTTCTACCTACTATTAAAATTTCAAGCAAATTGATGCACGGTTTTCTACCATTTTTACCATCACATCCTGGACTAAATGTATTCAAAATTTTTATAAATGTATAGCTAAAGTTCTTTTACCCTATGACGTCCAATATGCAATTAATATATGATCAGTGGGCCCTAAACAGTGGGTCGGTAATATTTAATGCCGATCGCTTAAAGCAACACAAAAAAAAACAAGCATTTGAACTCTGGTGTTACCGTAAAATGCTCAGAATATCCTACATGAGCCATACGACAAATGCGGAAGTCTTGCGGAGGATGAATAAGGAAAGAGAACTTATGCTTATAATAAAAGAACGGAAAAAAACAATATTTTGGTGACATCATAAGAAATCAAAAGTATGAACTGCTCCAACTTATAATCGAAGGCAAAGTCAATAGCAAAAGAGGACCAGGAAGAAGACGCAACTCTTGGCTTAAAAACCTACGGCAATGTACGAACATGACCTCCATAAAACTATTCAGGCCAACGTCCTTAAGGATAAGGCACCGTAAGAAGAAGAAGATCGCTTGAAAAGTAAAAATATTTTAGTTCCTGTATTTATGTCCTTATATACTGTATTTTCTCCTATAATTTATGATCTTTAATAATATTGAATTTTACTGTATTAAAAGCAAATAAAACGAATATAGTGTGTATGTACAGTGCGTGTTAAAAGAAGTGGGACGGGATATTTCAAATACTCGAAATTATTTGTCGACATCAAATGTTCATTAAGGTCTCTATGTCTCTATTTTGCGTAGAGTGAAGTTTATACGAATAGTTTTGCATGCAGTAAAATTGGAAAATACTTGCCAAGTTGCTGGTATGTCCAAATTTGAATAAAATATATCCCAGACTTTACTTTCGGCAGACACTGTATTAAATAAAAACTTGAAACAAATCACTTTTTTATTAATACCAAAATTAATAATATTAATTTAAATTAATACCAAAGCTATTAAGAGTATGAAGTCCAGTAATTAGACAGAAGGTACTTTATAGCTTAA